TTGTTCCCTGGGTACAAAAGGAAAATGTATCTAGTTTAAGCAGTGTGAGATGATTCAGAGCCTATTTGCAAAAATGGAATATCATAACGTAAACAGCTTATTGTGAGAAAATTATATAGATGAAGATGTATATATGTCTGAACAACAATGTGGACCAACCAGTTAGTAACTTAAATTATTCACTTTGCAATTCATCGTTCTTCAAGACTCTATTAGAGATGTGGAACTGTAACCGTGTAAACGATGAGCTTGGGCTCATTGGTGATGTTCACAATTAAATGCAGGTTCCCTGACCGTATTGGCTCCAGGGGAACTGCTGGCTGTGCTGTGTGTAACCATGAAACCACTGAAATTTTCAGCAGTTACTTAATTACACACATTTTAGCATCAATACCCTATGCCTTTTAGTACAAGCCTGATTTAACAAGTAAATTCTCAAGGTGTGTGCTATGTTGGCTGTTGACAGAAAAAAAGTTTACTTAGCTAATTCTCATGGCTTGTTTAGTTAACTAGGTTTATAATCTATCACTGAAGTATACAGTACAGAAAGATCCAGTAAGAAAATCTAAATTTTCAAATTGCCACTGAGTGTCATTTTCTTATTTTATGTTTCATAATACAAGTCCCTTATTTTGGAACATCATGGTCACAAACCACAGGCCAAAGACTTAAGTACAGGCAGTCCCCAGGTTACATGGATCCGACTTACATCAGATCCCTACTTACAAACGGGGTGAGGCAACCCCGCACTAGCTGCTTCCTCCCAGCAGACTAGGGAGACGCGAAGCTAGCGCCTCCTCCCCAGCAGACCAGGGAGACGTGGAGCGGCTTTTCCCAGCAGACACCTCAGCTTGAGAATAAAGGACTGAGGGAAGTGAGGTGTGGGAGAATAAAACTGAGCTCTGGAGAACTGTTTGGCTAGAGTTTCCCCTACAATATGTACCAGTTCCAACTTACATACAAATTCAACTTAAGAACAAACCTACAGTCCCTATCTTGTACGTAACCCGGGGACTGCCTGTACAACTTCTTCAGGAATAAAAGAAAACAATGAAGTCACAAAACACTTCCAAAACAACCGTTTTGCTTCAGCTTCACTGAAGAGAGCAGAAGAATTCAAACTGATTTTCACTCAAAACATTCAATGGAATTCTGTGGCTGATTGTTCAAAACAATGTATTAAGAACTGGCCTATTTTCATAAAACTTTGTGAAGGAAACTGATTAAATGGATGAAAGCATCTCATCCAAAGTACAGGCAGTCCCCGAGTTACGCGGATCCGACTTATGTCGGATCCGCAGTTATGAACGGGGCCCTCCCTCTCCCTGGTCTCCAGCAGACCAGGGAGAGGAAGCAAAGCGGCGGAACACGCGGGCAGCGGACAGGGCTGTCCGCTGCCCGCGTGCTCTGCGGCTTTGCTCCCCGTCCCCCTGGTCTGCAGACCAGAGGGACGGGGGGCAAAG